ACTTCCTACCTGCCTCACCTATTCTTATGTCCCTCACCCACGCCCACTTCCCTCACTTATGATTACCTTCCATATCCCTCACCCTCGTCTGTCAGTCACACCTACACCCACCTCGCTCTTTGTCATTCTTTTTCTCCCTCACCTACTACGGCCCTACTCTCTCTCTCTCTCTCTCTCTCTCTCTCTCTCTCTCTCTCTCTCTCTCTCTCTCTCTCTCTCTCTCATATACACCAACACTTGTAAGGCAAACCTACAGGCAGTCATCACTGCTTACAGGACTTATGCCAAATGAGAATCTCATTTTGGGAATAATTCTAACAAGGTTAAGTGTGTAATAAATTACTTCCATACCTTTTCACAAACACCAATATCTTAAAGCCACACTAATTAACAGAGTCTTCGATATTGAAATACTTTGTTCCTCACTGGCTAACAGAAGGAGACAGTGTGATGTAGTCATAGCTCTAGGATCAGGCGGGAGTCGGGAAGACGTTTTGTTAAATATCTATCAAGCTTCTTCTGAACAAAACTTACTTTCATGCAAACCTAAACAAGGCATGGGCAGTAAATCATTACAATATCAATCCGAAATAGTAAGTATTCCGAAAATGATCAAGGTCCTCTCCCCTACGAGAACTTGATTAAGGCTGCTGTTCTCTACATTATCTAAAAATAAGATGATAATGAAATGAATTAGAATCCACTACACTAACTTTATTATTTTCGTAAGTGCTTAGCCAGGTATCCAGCAGTACTCCCAAGTTGCCCTCTGTTACTGATACCACTTGATCACAACACTGTCCGCTCCACTCACTTCCTCGATGGCATAATGTCCTTGAGGAGGGAGGAAGCGTCACCTTCTTGCTGATGTGATAACAACTAATACACTCACAGATGCAAATATCAGTTTCAGCTTACATAAGATGCTTGTTGCTAGGACCACCCCTGGACGCCATTACAAGAGAACTTAACAGTGTCATAAAACACCAGTTGAAGAATGAACAGTACAAAATATGGCTGAGAGAGACGACGGAAAAATAACGCGTTCACGGAAGAGGGTCACGAGAGAAGTTACCAAGTAATATCATGTCATGGGTGAAAGATTTCGATGTTATTCGGAAATTACAAATATTTGTCTTATAGGTCCAAAGCGTCCTATGTGAGTCACAGTGCGAAACATTAAAGCCCAAATCTGCAAAGATTCAACGCCCGCCTTAAACTAGAAGGTTTCCAGTAGTCACGGACGTACATTAATTTATTCTGAAAAAAAATAGTTGAAGGAGCAACGCTGATTTAATTATCTGAGTCAAGACACCAATACAAGATATTGCCAACAACAGTGTCAAGTGTTTATGGCTGCCCAAACGTGGGTGCACCTTGTATAGAGAGTTATAATATATAATTAACTTTTAGGCTTCCTTGTATCTCTATTACATATTCAGTTAAAAACAACGACTAGGATTGAATGTTTTGTACTGTACCAAGTTACCAACCTATAATCAGCTAAGAAAATGGTAATAAACTTTTGTGATAATTGTACGACAACTGAGACATAGTGGCGGCGATAACATAAACCAGTTTCAGGTCCCTGAGGCTAGAGTGCCACGACCCTTGCAGGAGATGTTGGTTGATAACGACGTTGAACCTGTGTTCCCTTCCTGCACCTGCAACACAGGATAGGCTGCTGGTGGACGTGCCTCCCCTCCACTGTCCTACTGCATCACGTAAAAATGTATATTTACTTACTGTACAGAGGTTAACACATTATTATATTAAGAAATACAAAATTTACGTTATGAAACCAACGATTAATAGTGTACATTTATTATTATTATTATTATTATTATTATTATTATTATTAGTAGTAGTAGTAGTAGTAGTAGTAGTAGTAGGAGTAGTAGTATCATTGGTAGTAGTAGTATCATTGTCGCCAATAAAATATGAACAAGGGATTTACGGATTCTATTTCAGGTGTCCTGTAGATAACACGAAACCCTCGGGCTATTGTTAAAAATCTACCTCCGATATTGACTTTTGGGTGAACTGAATTTCCTTGTGGCTTTACTCAACTCAGCCATTGTCCTTGTTGTTGTTAGATTAGTTTAGGTTAGGTTAGTTAGACAAGCACAGACGTGGGGAAATACCAAGGGCGCCTCATCATACCCCGAGATAATTACTTAGTCGTTCAGGTGTTACGTGAGGTAAGAGGAAAATTTTTTGTTCTTTAAATATTAAAATCAACCGAGAGTCACATGTACGCAGTAGTTGTCCACTGTGTATCCCAAACCATTTTTATTTATAGGATACTTGAATTAGTAAACAACGATCAATTAAATGAGTAACAAAAACAACATAACCGGTCTGGAAGCTTATTAGTTATGTGTTCTTCTGTGTCTTCTTCACCAGTCACCAAAGTGTCAGTGTCAGCAACAACCGTGGGCGTTATTCTTGAAGGCTGACAGTTGACGCCCATGATAATAGAGCTAGAATGCATCTTTCATTAGCCATAGTGTGTCACCACCACGAGTTTGCAACATACAATTAAGAGAGCAATGACACGTTAACGACAATGGTAATACACCCAGATATTCACAAATGATAATCTAAATGTCGACATAACTAAGCTATGGCAGTCAGTGCATGTTAATGGTGATGTTAAGTCATCATGCTCTGTTGCCATCGGGCTACCAAACTCCACGTGATTTCTTGAATTCATGGGAGTGCTGTAGCTGCCAGTGTGAGGTTGTCGTCTTCCACTGGCCTGAGTACAGGGCTCATGCTATTAGGATGATAATAACCTTGAGTTCCCGGGACTATCACGTGTACAGTACCCAAGGGGGCTTTTGTCCTAGGGGGCTTTTGTCTTACACCCAAGGGCGGTATAAGGAAGGAATCTAACTTATGCTGACTTCCTGGTAGCGTGAACTACCTGACTGTTATTATCTGTTGCCAGCCGAGATTATATGGTAGCTGGATTCTGATGTGTTATGTGGTAATGGTTACTAAGAGGGAGGGAGGGAGGTAGAGGTGAGGAGTGAGTGGGGTAGGTGTGAGGAGTGAGTAAGGTAGAGGTGAGGAGTGAGTGAGGTAGAGGCGAGGAGTGAGTGAGGTAGTGACGAGGAGTGAGTGAGGAGGGAGTAAGGTAGTGTTTCCATGACATGACAGGTTTCTTGTAAAGAACATTAGGTTTATGTCAGATGATTGCCGTGCGTTACCACTCAAGATGTCGGTGTTATGTGTGTCCTTCAAGGCTTACACAAGAACAGAAGAAAGTACTAGAAACGGGAGAAGTATATTCTTATTTTCCTTAACCCCCTGTGTACGGGGTCCCCTCTGAGAGGAATAAAATCGTCTGGTGCTAACCAATTAAAATACTAAAATAGCGTCCCTGTAGTGAAGAGGTTAAGAAATCAATCAAATCTAACATGGACACTACCTGTTATAAGTAAATAATGAAAATATTAACCATAACCAATCAATTACAAATCTTGAACAAAATCACTAATTCTCTCTGGTAATTGAATGAAACATTATGCTCTTATTGTTCAGATCTATTCCGCCATTCCTGTTTGGTTCAAATCCTTAAATGTAATCAGTCTACGATCGTTTCTACTGACATTCCTATGTATTTACCTTATTTTACTGAGAAGGGCAAGTTGAAAGGGATAAAAGCATTACGGCAGGAGGTAAGTGTTAGTGCAAGTATAAATAATCCTTTACTTCTTGGTATTCTTTTAATCTCGTTAAATACATAAGTCTGAACCATTAGTTGTTGCAACTAATGTTCTTGATAAGTTGGTCGTGTCTCTGAATTTCCCAGGTTGAAGAACTAGCTGATTTGTTTCATTGCCATGCTGGATGAAATTTTCTTATTTTCACGAGTAAATAAGATTTCCATAAGTCTTCCGATAAATATAAGATCGTAGAACCCAAGTTACAATATATAAAACCTAAAAGAATATAATGAAATTGAGGGTTTATCATGAAATTTTAAGAATATATTAACAGCGTTTACTGACATGAACACGAAAAATTTAAGAACTGTAGTTTACTAAGTAACTTTGATGAGTATTTCCTGTAAAGTGTGTCTTCAGTTACAGTAATTATAGGTTAATTTTTAAGCAAAAACATTAATTAAATATTTCCTTATCCAGCTTTCATTAAGTACAAAGAAAATGTATTCCTCTTGAATGTGTGTCTTATACATGAAGGCACGAGAGACAAGGTCTTAAATAATATGTTATAGAAAAGGTGGAAGAAGAGTACAGACTTCATAAGGACAACTACCATTGAAATATATAAACAATCGAATAAGGAGAAAGAAGAGATATCTTAAAACAAGTGAGTGATGTAAAGATCAGTTGTCTATTACAAATTATCTTAATTGTTGTGTTTGTCAAGAGTCTCGCTCATAGGAGCGATTTTGGTTTGTGCAGGACAATAAGACCCTTGTCGTTGACGCGACGAGTATAATACGCGTCAACGACAAGGGTCGTATTCTCCTGCACAAACCAAAATCGCTCCTTTGAGCGATTACAGTCAAAACGTTTTGGGGTCTAGGGTTTGATGATTGCTACCAACTCTGTTTGTAGGGTGGAGCAGTCATTAGAAAGTCTCCATAGGAGGATCTGACCCTGGGTGTAGGCCAGTGGTTCCCAACCTTTTTTAGCTGTGACCCTAAATTTCCCAACAATACGGTGTCGTGTCCCTCAGGCATATAATATATCATATAGCTTAAATGTTAAGCAAAAATTTGTTTGACTTTATGATAAGTACTATATTCTTAAAATTGTCTGAGGGCCCCTCGCGACCCTATTGAGGACACCCCGCGACCCTGATTTACTCTATGAAATAATAATTCATTTTACTGAGCGGATAGAATCCGGCTCCCGGCTCTTAGTGACGCGTCCCGTTTTAGTTAACCTTGAGGTACCCCAATACCCTTGACGCTAGTTACGTCATCAAGAGGTATATAAGGTGACGGCGGGTTAGGAGAGCCTGCGTGTCCCTGCAGCCTGCATCAGCAACACTTGTTCTGAGAGGTGAGTGTATAACAGGTTACTAACTAACACTAACAACATCTCTCACTCGTATAGACGGAAGGTGATCTTTGTTTCTTCATTCATGTTAACGTAAGTGCAGCAATAATAAACACCTGGATACAGAATTAGTTGCTAAACAAACTATCAACTTTTGTACTCAGTAAATCTCCATTTTGACGATTATAATTTACCTGTTTGCCAGGAGAAGGAAGCAGCCAGTGCCTTGTTTAATCATCCCGTTGTTCCTGATGAGTTTATCTCGCATGAGTTCAATGCTAGTACAGGAGGGCACCGGTGTACAGTACCTAGACTGTTGGGTAGGATTCTTCTGAACAACACCCTTCTCACTTACAAACCTTTCAGTTTTACCATTTTGTATTTCTTTTATATTCTGTACTTTATCAATTTTTAATATATTGTACACTTCTTAACACTTCTCTGGAAGCAACATAACAGACGTGGTTCTAAGTAAGCTACTGGTCTTCTTTCCTCAGATGGCAGGAATTATGTTGATGGTCTTGGCGGCGGTGTGTGTAATGGCGGTGAATAGCCTGGCCCCACCACAGGCCCCGCCACCGGGCCCGGTTCTCGGCCCCGGTGGCATACCTCCAATTGAGTGAGTCTTCCTCACCTTTTGTTGTAGTAGTGACGGCGCTTAACGAAGAGTAAATTATTCTGTTTATTGGACTCACAGCTACAAATTTTCATATTAAATATTTACCATAAAATTTTTATGAGTTGAATATTAACATTAATAATTATGTGGAGAAGAAATATATATATATATATATATATATATATATATATATATATATATATATATATATATATATATATATATATATATATATATATATATATATATGAAGGTAATAATTGATGGCTAAACGTCATACGTACAATACGTTCTCCAATCCGTGTTAAGATATTTGTCCAGTATGGTTAAGATATTTGTCCAGTATAGAAATAGCGTGCTCCTGTATTAGGTCCTCCAACACTCATCTTTCACCAGGTTTTGGGAGTGTCCGTCTGGGTTCAGCGTGCGGAAGGCCGTCGGCCGTACTAGACAGGCCTTGAACGTCGTCAGGTTCCAGGCAAGTGGCTAACAACATTACCTTGAGTTTGTGATAACAGAAAAAATATAGGTGTGTTTTTTTTCAATTCTCTCCTCATATATTAATGATGTAATAGAAACCCTTGAGACCTGATTTGTATGTTCTATACTTTTATCAAGTCAGTATCAGCATCTCATCTGTGACTCTTGCAGGATGTTCTAACAAACCGAGGCGCCTGGTCTCAGAGTGACAGCAAGTTCATCGCCCCCTGCCCGGGCACCTACTTCTTCACTTTCCACGCCCAGTCCTCTGAAACACAAGACTTCACGTGAGTACCAGTGGGGGATGTCACTACCATGCCACGCCTCTCTGTAACTGCAGTAAACACGTACCTGACAGTTGACACTAGAACACACTGCGTATTTTATTGGTACTTTAACCGCCTAACTCAAGATGCCAAAAAAAGGAACAACGTTTCTCTGTCCCAATTCGATGGTAAAAATAGGAAGGTAACCTTTACTGGACATATACATGGATTGTACTCAGCCTAATTTTGTTTAAGTCTCTTCCAGGAGGTCGTTGACAAATTGTTTTAACTGCGCTTCATCAACTAATGTGTCAAAATACAGTAAATACTTGAGAGTTATAAGAGATACTGTAGATCGCTCTGTATACTAAGGTGTCTCCTACGTGAATATAGTTTAAATTTACCCCAAAATTAAATTTTTAATTATATATATATATATATATATATATATATATATATATATATATATATATATATATATATATATATATACTGTACATACACTATGTGCCGTGCTAGCTGTTTGGGGTTAATCGTCTGATCAAACGTTAAGACCAATTTAAGAATATCTGTATGTTGTCACTTAGAGTTCCATGGAAGTTTGTGTCTGTGACAAATGTGTCTCACTTTCACTCAAGACGACGCTTTACCTGAAGATTGCCGAACTTTATATTAATTGTTAGGTAAGTTTGTGTTGTGCTGTGTTAGGATGAGTTACTTAATATAGTATTGATGACACACAGTTGTTGATCCATATGGTCTTTACTATAGACACGTGTGTTCGAATTTTCCAAATCAGAAATAGATTGAAATAATCGGTAAGGCACAGTCAATCGTACACTCATCGATGGTGAGTGTCATTTTTAGAAATAATTACCCTGTACATAAATAGGAGACCTTCACACATCCAAACTCATATATTTGTAGATTTATCTTTTCCTTGTACATACACCATTGAAGGTGTGTTGAATTTATAAACTTTCTTCACATATTAACTTGAAGTAGCTAATGTGTATATGACGTCCACAGGCTGGCACTCATGAAGAACGGGGTGTACCAGGTGACGGCGTACGGCAGCAAGAACGGCTACCAGCAAGGTTCTAACTCTGCTCTCCTACAGCTCGAAACAGGTGATGAAGTCTACCTGTATCTACAACAGGGAGAACTCTACGAACACCCACATGATGAGTCCTACACCACCTTCTCGGGACACCTGGTCGAAAAGATTAGACCAGAATTTTAAGTTGAATTAATATCGAGAAGCATGTACCGTTATGTCTGAAATAGCGACTAAGCGACGATCATAAGATTAATTGAACATAATTTAACTATATGGAAAACATTAATGTTGTTCGTGTTCGTCAATAAATAAGATAAAATATTTTCACTAGAGTTCTTGCATCCCCCACACACTGGCTACTCTGTAATGGTATTATTGACAGTGACGCCGGGCAGCTTCACCTTCTGTCTTTGGTAAGTGTCGATGATACTGTACAAAGTCAAACAAATTATTTAGGGAGGGAGGGCTGTGTGAGAGTATGGGGGTGGGGGAGGTATGAGGGTAAGGTATGTTAAAATAATTGAAGGTAATGGAAAAGAAAATGGTGGGAGTGTATGTGTAGGGGTGTGAAGGCTGGAGTATGAAGAGTCGCTTGTTGATTATTAGTTTAATATCTTAGTCTTGATAGTACGCAATGATCAGATATCATCACTTTTTAGATGTTTTCCTCCCTTATGGTTGTTAACGTTGCCACTACCTTCCGGGAGTTATCCGGAACTTTTCCGGTGAGCTTCCTGGCCCCTCGCTCACTGCCTTCCTCCCATCCCCCCAACCCGCTGAGGAAATTTTCTCGAAACGATGGATATATAATGAGTCTTCCACACACCACCATAAGATATCAACCAGTCATCATGGTGGTGGTGGTCTTTACGCATCTCTCTGTATCAATCTTGTGTACTAATTCTCTTAAGTCTAGGGACGTGTCAGTCTTAAAAAACAATTTATGTACAACTTATGTCCTGCCTGTGTACTTTCGCCATCGATTCCTTGCACAGTACTTGGACACAATACTTGTCGTTATACCTGGCTAGTGAACCTTTCTGTGTCTTGATTGTGACCTGTGTGCATTTATTACCTTAAGTTCTTGTATAATTGTTCTCTCTGTGATTTTTATATATACGTATATTAGTATTAAGATCATATATAAGGAATTATCTGTATGTTTAGTTACCCCCCATACATGATATCTGAGGTTTACTGACATTTTTTTATTTATGATAAATACAATCATTGGAACACACTAATTATTTGTTCACGAGTGGCACTATTTTTAACATCCTGCATAACTATGGTCTGTGAGTATCTTTAGAAGTTATGAATAGATCTTAAACTGTTAACCCGTGGTTCTATCTGGTCACATATACAATGGGTAATATATTTTATGCTAGTGTTAACTTATTCTAAAGGAAATTTTTTATATGATTAAGTCTATATGTGCGTATGAATTAATATATTTGCTTCAGGTAGTAGGTAGTAGGCAGCTACCAAACAGGGAGGTACTACCGCCTGGGAAGATATTGGAAACATAATGTGTTGTCTAATGGTAGACCCTGCTGCCATATGGCATCACGAAAATTGTGACTAAGTCCCAGGTTGCTGATCTGACTTTCTGCCTCATTTACATACAACTGCAGGGTCTCAATTGTTTCTCTTACCATTGACAACACAACATACATACAGTATATTGTTTCTCACAATAAGGCACTTATCATAGTCATTTAACTGTTGTGTGTATCTCTCTCTCTCTCAGGTGACAAAATGTGCGACCACTGTTAGCCTGAGATTAACTCCCAGTTACCAGACCCTGCCACGTGGAGGCCAGTGGTTCGTCTTAGGGCCCACCCACACAGGTAGTAACACGTTAGGCTGTATACCGCCCAAGCTCAAGGCTGAATCCAGATGTGTCGGCGATGCCACCAGCAGGACCCGTCCCCTGGCACCATACATCCACCACCACTGGACCCCGCCTTGAACTCTCCCCCTCTATGTACATGCGAGTCGGCCAGCCTAACCCGCCACCACCCGTTCACATGTTATTATGAATTTGATCTTCTATTTATGTTCAACATTCTCTCTGTCTCTCCCTACCTGTCTGTCTGTGTCTGTCTGTCTGTTTGTCTGTGTATGTGTGTTTATTTGCTAACCTTTTAGCTTTCCTTCTCTCTATTTCTTTGTTTGTCTGTGTCCTCGCGTGTTTCTCTTTGTAACTCCTTCTATACACCCATACGTGTTGCTTCTTCTTTTACTAAGCCTTTTCTTATCATTATCATTGTAAGATAGAACACTTAAATGTGTCTTGGGAGCGGCAGTTTAATATAAGTATTGAAGTTGGTCATTTTAATTACATTTGTATTTATTCATATTTACAGTTATTTGTAGAGTTTTTTATTTGCTATAAGGAATTGTGTGGTTGTATCAGTGTTTGGCTGTACAGTACTGTACGTCGATGTTATCATTTTGTACCTGTTCTTACTGTTAGTTTTATTCTGAAGAAAGGTTTTTCGTGTTTAAAATACTTACGCACACACACACACACACACACACACACACACACACACACACACACACACATCCTTGAGTGCGCTACCATCATCCGACATGTTCGTTGATGTTATTAATTAATTACTCTCGTCCATCAACAATTAAACATGAGAGATATTTGTCTTTACTATTTGTTTGTATTATAACATCAGACGTGATTATGTAAGTTTACATTGTGTAACATTATTATATTATTATTATTATTATTATTATTATTATTATTATTATTATTATTATTATTATTATTATTTTTATTATTATTATTATTATTATTATATCGAGCAGTGGTCCTCTCCACCCTGTTATATGGCAGCGAGACATGGGTCACCTACAGGAGGCACCTCAAGGCTCTTGAAAACTTTCACCAACGTAGTCTACGTTCCATCCTCGAGTTCGCTGGGAATACAAGAGAACAAATCCCAGTATTCTTGCTGACACCAACTATAGGAGCATCCATGAACAACTACGCTGGACTGGCCATGTTACCCGCATGGACGACAGTAGACTGCCAAAGCAGCTACTTTACAGTCACCTAACGAATAGTAATCGTAACGCTGGCGGACAATTGAAAGGTATAAGGATAGATTTAAGACAAACCTGAAAAAAGTACCAAATCGACCCCCCTCACCTAGGAGACGATTACTCCACACAGTAATGCTTAGAAGAGCACCACACAAAGTGTCAATACTTTCGAGTTAGCCCGATTGTATACCGAGGCAGACAAGCGCCAACGCCGGAAAGACGCTGCCGCCGCCCCTCCTGCACTAGATGTAGCCCTCCACGACCCTGCAGGTCCCGTATCGGCCTCTTTAGCCACCTCTGAATTCACCAACGTAGGCGACATCCTTAATAACTCATATCATTGTATCATAGCTGGATGTAGTAGTAGTAGTGTGTGTGTGTGTGAACCCTGAACGGTTATCTTTTATAGCCAATATGCACTCGTATCGTTGTTGTATTACGGTCCTGTATCATGATCCCTGTTTCCTCCCCAGGAACAGTGAAGCCAAGACGGAACGATACATAGATAGATATATAATATAGTATACACCTGCCAGACGTTGGACAGTTAAATCTATTTTCCCACATTCAGTTACAGTATTGAACGTTATGTTTGGTTTGGCTCTGCGTTTAGGTCATTTTCATAAACGTTGTTTGTTACTTACTGATGGAACTTAACTTGATGATGCACATGACAGTGTTCTGTAACTGTAATTCGAAGTTGACATTAACTGTGATACCTTAACCCTTTGATTGCTGAAGGTTCCCCTCACCTGAATGAAAATCGTCTGGCGTTAACCATAATAATATACTTAACATGGTTCATAGCACTCAAAGGTGTTCCTCATCGTCCGTCCTTCAGGCTTTATTTATATCTTAGTTTGAGTTATAAACACCATGACTCAACGACATCAGATATCTTAAGTGTGTACCAACCAGTTAGACACAGTCCCTTTAATGACGTCACTATAAAAAAAGTGTAAATGATAACTGAATAATAGATACGATTAAACACCTGCCAAGTATAGTAACATACGAGTATTTGTTTCTTTCACATCACTAACATACAAAACACCTGGTATTGTAGATATTGTCCCTGACGTATAATGTTGTAACTCTCAGCCTCCCGGACCAAATAAATCTCACATTACTATAGTCTGTTTTAGCCTCTAGTAATGATATTCACCCCTCTTATCGTGATACACTTTACTGCGCCGCAATTCAACTTCCTCCTCACCTCATGCAAACTTCTCTGTTCCCATACACTCCCTTCCCCTCACTTTTTTTTTCTTTCCATTTAAAAACACCCTTTCTCTCCTCCCCTACTAATCCTCTCTCCTCCTAGGGCATTCCTTTCATCTCCCCACAGTGATACTCTCCCCACCTTACAAAACCGTCACTTCATCCCCATAAACCTATTTCTTCACTTCATTCCCCTGCCATTAGTCCCATACATCTGTTATCCACTCCCTCTCACATGCCAGCCTTCCCACTCCTCCACATGCACTCCCCACACTCCCCGCCATTCTCCGCTCCATTGCCCTTAATTACTTTAACACACCTTGTTCTAAAACCTCACCCTCCCTACTCTCAACCCCCCCCTCCCTCCCTCAGTGCCTCCTTTCCTAACCATTCCCGTCATGTGTGGGTAAACAAGTGCAGACAGTGTTTTGTTAACGGTTACCGCAGTGGGCCAGCAGTCAACTGACCTCCCGGGATTAAATTGTCATAGAGAAGGTGGCCTGTGGTTGATTGGTTAATAACTCTGGGTTGAGGCAGAACCACAGGTATAATCATTATCAACACCGACTTGTAGTTTCAAAACCCTAACTGCTTCACAAATATCGAGACAACAGGAAAAATAACCTTACCTTTCTGACCTGTGCCTGATATGGGACTAATTTATGGTTGTTGATGGACTAGTGTAGTTACTAACTTAGTTGCGCGCTTAAATACCTTATTGTTGAGGCGCAGTAATAACATTATATCGTCAACGATATGTGACGCAACACACACACAGGCACCTCCACTTCACACACGTAGGGACCTCCACTACAAACATTGGCCCTTCCACTACACATATTTGCCTCTCCACCACAAAAACTGGCACTTCCACCACAAACATTGGCACTTCCACCACACACACATGCACACCTCCACCACATACACAGACACCCCCACCATACACACACATAGGCACCTCCACCTACTACTACTTTGCTGTCACTCGGAATCGAGTATGACGATCATCCAGCAATGAGACAATGATATGAGTTATTA